AGGTAAACAAATTTAGAAAAAATCTTTGTGAACAAATGTGAGTATTAATCTCAAAATGACATATTGATGTTTAAAATGCTGAACAAGCACACCAACCCTAGCTGAATAACCCCCCCACTGGAACGAGACGTTGTGTTAACAGACTGTGTGAGGTGTACCTCACTGATGACCATGTGTCCTGCCATGCGCAGGCGGGTGAGGGGGGGGAAATGCAGGGTCATGAGAAGGCGGAGGCTTGCCTCTGAGAAGGAGAGCTGGTGGGGGTGAGGGTTCATCTGCTCGTCCGCCATCGCCACCCCTGTGTCCTGTCCAGCCACCACGCACGAGTCTGGAGGAAATGTTGGGAGATGGACAAATATTAGCAGGAGATAAAATCAGAGAGACAGGAGAGGAGAGTTTATTAAGTACGAAGTAAAGACAGATTTTGTGAAGGAGAAAAGAAGACAGACAGGAAAAACTCTTTTCATCAATGTGGTGCAGTTCTATTTCAGCTTGTTATCCACAGAGGAACATAATTGGGTTTGACTGGCAGAATAAACTGTGTCACTGGGTCTGTTGAATGCACGTACAAACACGAGCTCCAGCACCTGGCTTCAGCGGCACCATGTCGTTGTCACAGTCTCCAGCGTTTCCGACAGCAGTTGTACGTCGCAGGAAGCTCAGACACGGCTGACCCTCCCTGCTGCAGTGCGTCTCTACCAGGCTGCACAGAGACCTGTTGAACCTACACAACAGATATTAGTGAGTGTAGAGTGATAAGTTCATACCAACAGGATAGAAAAGGAGTGAGAGACTCACTTCATGATGATGATGTAGAGGCCGTACATAGAGATCAGGATGATGGTCTCCCACCTGAGACACCAACACAAACACCAACAGTCAGTCTGTCAGTCAAACTGATCTGATGTTCAAACAACAGGAGACTGAACAGTAAAACTTTCACAGTCTTACCACACAACCTTTTCATCATAGATCACCTGCAAATAAAATGAAAATAAACTTTATTTACACATCAAGAACAAACATTCTACAAGTCTAATCACAGGACCAACCATCTCACCAGGATAAGCACCAGTATGGACAGGATGTAGAAAACAGCGTCACGAAAGAGAGGCCACCAGCTCAGAGAGATGGGCTGCAGAGAACAGAAACACATGAAACATCAATATTAGTTTAATCAAAAATGGTTGAAATGTTTGTTGAAAAGTGTGTGTGTGTGTGTGTGTGTGTGTGTGTGTGTGTGTGTGTGTGTGTGTGTGTGTGTGTG